GGGCAAAGAATGGGACTTGTTGGATAGCCTAAGTAGAGGATTTATGGAATAAAAGTATGCAATGTTTTATAAATTCAGACATCAATGAAATATGCATTTAGTCTGTTCAACATGCTCAAATATGTTTGCTCTCAGGGCTGAGTTTTGGAAACCTTGTCAGTATGGTATTAAGAAAAGGATAGTTGTCATGTCAATGTGTGTTTTTAACGGCTGTTCATATGAAAGCCAGACTGAGAATGACAAAGCATGATAAATTGCTAGTTCTGAAAGATTGAATATTTATTTAAGCTAATAAACAAGGGTTCAGAAAATTTGTTGCAGTAACACTTTAGTTAGAAAATATCAAAATGTTAAACACCAAAATTATCCTGGCATGGGGGATTAAGTTTTCATGGGGGAAAAGAAGCCAAATTCTTCTTGCATTCCTGCAGAGATGTATTCAGGGATGGATTTACTGGGGGGGGGCACCCCCCTTACCCTGGCCAGAGGGGGTGCAGGGGGGGGGTGCTATTTTTCATGATAAAGCAAAAAATTATTAGAGACAAATGACATACAGTAATTTGAGTAATAACATGATGATAAGTGAAATGTGAACAACAATTACAATTTAAATACAGTAGTCAAACAGGACTTTGCAGTAGTGAAGCAAGTTGATGGGCGGGTGGCACACATGACCGACACAACTCGGCACCAGAGCTGGCAGAGCACCCCCTACCAGATCATGCTGGATCCATCCCTGGATGTATTTACTGCCATGGGGGTGCACCCCCCCCTTAACATTGGCAAAGGGGTGTAAGGTGGGGGGGGGGGTATTTCATCAAATCATTTTTTTTTCAATTTGGAAAGGCAATATCCTGTCACCATTACCACAATAATACCCCTCACTGCTGTGTGTAGCTACAAATGATTATGGACTTGGTCAACAGTCATACACTGAACCATATATGGGTCGATGAGCACACCCGGCCTCCATTTGTACAGACAACTTATACAACACCGAAATAAAGCCAAGAACATTTTAAATTTCAAATATTCTTGCTACATCTAAAGACTGTTTAACCAAATCTATGAAAGTGCACAGTAAGGTACAGTTCAACATCAAACACTAGGTCTTCTATTTTGTAGCTTTGAAGTTTGCAGGCTTCCAGACCATCATAATGATCATATCTTGACAGACTATTGTTTGGTCTATAAAAGACTTAGTTCCTTCACTGTCCCTCGAACAAAATCGATCATAAAGCAAATTTTTAGATATTAATCACAAGGCGTAAAATTGCATTGCGTATAACTATAGTCTATAAACAACTCAGATATTAACATTAAATTTATGTTCTTCTTCAAAGAATATTCATTGAAAAACTATTTGTTTGAAATAAGACGTTAATTATTCAGATTCCCCTGCTTTTGTTGGTAGGGTTTATTGTTTTACTATTTAGATATATACTATTCATTGACTCGTGTACATTGCAGTTCCTGTCTTCGTTAAAAACATACTAGAACTTAATAACATTTTGTCAAATGAACTTAAAAGCTTCCATTTTGTTTTCCTTTACAAAAAAGTTATCGATGAATGCACAAAGTTGTTAAAATTTGCTATTTCCTCTTCGAAACGAAATTGTTCGCTCCTGACAGCCGCCATTTTACATTGCACAGAAATACATAATTATGCAAAACATATGCACAAATTTAAATATTAACCTTGACGTCACAGACAAGAAATATTAACCATTGACCCAGCCGTTAAGTGGGCGAGTGGTGAGAACACAACGGCTGGAATCTTAGCCTAACTATATGCCTGTTGTATCTAAGATTTTTTTCATAGCATTAGATTATAAATTTAAGTTCTGTTTTCTTTTATTTTTAGGTTATAGTATCTGTTCACATGTGTGTTGGTATCAAATTTTGCACAAGATTAAATTATTATTTCACATTTCTTTATTGAAATATGCAAATAAATGGAATGTGACATCAAGCTGGAGGACTAAATCCTGTTTCCAAACTTTGTTTTTGTAAAAATAGAAAATAACAACTTACTATGTGTTGTTCTAATGAAAACTATGGTTTTTGATATGCATATTTAATTTTTGAAATTACATTTCATTCTTTGTTAAAATGTGTACCAGGAATACTGAAATCTTTCAGATCAGCTAAGAATACCTTTGTAACTTATATAGCCAAGTGTTCTATCTATTTCTGTTCAGATTAAACAAATGATGGGTAAAATATTAGATAAGATTTTTGCAAAAAAATGAGCTTGCCTGTTTTCAAAGCATAAAAAGCAATAAAATAAAGTAAAAGTACTTATTTTCAATATAAAACCTTTGGAATGCATAGCTTAATGTTTTCCACTAAATATTACAAAGTTTTCGTTCATTAAAATGTTGTTTTATCAGCTTTAAAACCAGATAAATTCACGAAACACTCCCAATATATGTTGCCATATTGATTTTCTTCGCGCATGCTCAGACAAATTGCCCACCTGTTATGGCAAGCAAGATTTCAATTTTAAAAGACATATATTTGGAAAATCGTTTCATGCATATACAATTAGAAAATACATGCATGCAGGAACCCTCGCCTTACTGATAAAACATTATGTTTTCTGAATATGAAGAATTGAAAATAGTTGTCATGGTATTAGGGCCATTCCATTTAATATACACCCTCCCTGTGGATGAGGTCTGATAGTTTTGAGACCCCTCAGAAATCAACTGTGGTTCGACACGCCTACCCTTAAAAAATGGGATTTTCATAAACAACCGTCCGAATTTTTTTTCCAAACGGTCATATTCATCGGAAATTCCTATGGATGAGGGTGCTATTTTTCTGACCCCTAAGAAATTTACATACAAAATATTAACCCCTCAGAAACAAAGTTTTTGAGAGCCAACCCCTCAGAATTTTAGAGGGTTTCTACAATAATTATAAACCCAACCTCTGGGGAATATAGAATAAAGCCATCTATTTGTGTTTTTGACACGTTTAATATCTGGTATTTTTTAATAATACGTTTGATTGTTTGTAATATATTTATAATCTTATAATGATGTATATTCATAATTACAATCATACAGTATCATATGTTTATATTCATAATGGTTTTGTTAATATATAAAGGGACTGGTCATAAAATATAAGGGGGGCTTGAAAAAGTAGGGGAGCCAGGGGGTCATCCTTTTTCAGCATGGTTAAATGGGTGGGTCAGGAAAGGTTTGGCGGAAAGGAAAGGGTGGGTCATGTGAAAAGATGCAGACATTCTTTAGAGTCCATAATTCGTTACTACATAGAAATTTAGAGTTTCAATTTTTTAGAGAGCCACACTATGCGGCAACAGGGAAATAAAGCTGATACATCTCGCTTTTCTGAAAGGGTGGGTTATGATTTTCCAGCAAAAATTTAAGGGCGGGCTACAGTACGGCTATTAAGGGGTGGGCTATCAAAAAAGCAGACATCATAGATATGATCCCCCCCTTACTCTATGACCAGTCCCAAATTATATGTAGCCTATATAACGTGTGACACTCTGTTGTAATATATTTCTATCATAAAAAGTTTATAATCAGTTCGCTAGCATGTAGTGAATCGGTTTATATTGATGGGAAAAGATGATCATGGCATGAAAGCAAAGGACATGTATAAAATTTAGTTGACTGTAAAGTAACATGAACTGATCACAGAAAATACTAAATGGTTGATCAGAAGCTCTAAACGGCTCACTCTATCACCCAAATGAAGTAAAATGGACTGTTAGGAAGGACAGATGACAAGAGGATGAAGACGATAGATGGTAAACACTCCCACTCATGCTTTAAATATTGGTTACATGGTATAACATTAGTCCAGCATTCTTCACATACATGTATATGAACAATGCGGGACTATAGTATAGCATTCCAGTAAAGCGTTTTTAATGCTTGTATATATGAACAGAAATGCAAGGTTCTTTATAATTAATGTTTGTGGAAGTAGTAATTACCTGAAAAATTAAATTCTGAATCAATGATGTTGGCATGCATCTAAGCGCTTATTTGGATTACAGCCAATGTTTAAAGAAAACATAACTCAATTTCTACCTGTTTCGATATTATAACTTTATAAAATAATGTTTTAACAACTAAAATAATTTCTCTTTCAGCCGAAGTTTTCCTGTTATCAGGTTTGGCAATACTGGGATGTTATATGCAAAATCTGGCTTGATAATTGTGATGTTACTCTGAGTGCATATCCACACCGGGCGAGCTTGAAAAATATGCCCGGCCACGGTGGGATTCGAACCTACGACCTTTGGAATACTAGCCCAATGCTCTTCCAACTGAGCTACGCGGTCAGGACGGTTCGAGTAACTGATATTTCGGAACAGAATCTAGTTCTTTCGATACCAATGTATTCTAGTAATATAGCGTAGCTCAGTTGGAAGAGCATTGGGCTAGTATTCCAAAGGTCGTAGGTTTGAATCCCACCGTGGCCGGGCATATTTTTCAAGCTCGCCCGGTGTGGATATACACTCAGAGTAACACCACAATTATCATATTCACCTGAGTACACTACACCAACACAGAAAAAAGTCTGGCTTGTCTAAAAAAAATAGATCAACTTCATCGTCATCGTAATCAACAGCTTGTACTTCAGCAGTGTACCAGCCTTGATTGAGAAAAGTTTAAAAAGTCGTTATTTAAGTAATCTGGTTGAAATACAACAGGGTTGTCATGGTACTGGTACTTAAAACTACAGTACTACTTGTAATTATTGTCTAATTAGTACCTGATGTCCAGTCTGTATCTTCAAGTTCATCTTCTTCCAACATGACTTCAACCACTACTCCAACTTGGCATACTTCTTCATAGTCCTGAATACTTCGTTTAGTGGATTAAGCGAGCCTTATCTTGTTTGCCTTAACATCTTCATCGACTTTATACGTATAGATAACATTAGCTTCTGTGTCAAATTCTACTTCTATTGTGTCACGTTCTTTATTGTGTTTCAACACAGACTCTACATACCAACCTATCAAAAATATTGACAGAGTAAACATTTATAATAATTTCATAATAAGTCAATTATTGTTTAGAATTTACCAGTTTTCCATCCTGAATCACCAATTTCTTCTTTTCTCCACCGTGCTAATATCCTTACACCAACAGTTTGAATGGCATCCAAAAGTCCTGCAACAATTTCAGGTGCATTTTCCACACTGTCTACGCCAATATAAACCAAAAGTTCATCTTCTATGGGTCTAAAAACATCATCCAAGGTCTCTAACGTTACCTCTTCCGGAACTTCCAAACGTTTTCCATTCTGTTTGGCGGATGCCGATGCACTGTCTCTTGGACGTATCATATTCAGAGATGCAGTGGTTGGTGTTAAGAACTTTCTGATTCTATGAATAACCACAGGATCTGCCAGGTGATGTTCTTTCTGTCTCCTTATTAGTGTTTTCGTCGCGTTTATAATATCTTGAATTGCATGGATCTCATTCTGAAAAACCAAATGAGTTCTTCCTGCTCTTAATGTTCCCACTCTAATAGCGAGTTCGCCTTTGGTGCCACAATCCAATATGTTATGGAATCGTAAGATTTCACGAAGCTTGTAAACAGAAAATTTGGCAATTTCCGTTACATAATTCGGTAAAGAGAAGAGTTTACCATCACATTTCTCAAGAGCGGGAGGTGGGTTTCTATTCAATTTTTTAACTAAGCGTTTCACGCACTCATGTTTTATCCCATCAGAACTTATACCATTCTTCTTACACAGTGATTGTAGCTTTGCTTTGTCGTTTTTCTTATATAAATCATCTTGTGACCAATACGCTCTCTCTTTCTCGTTTGTAAATGACGTGTCTAGTTTGTTTCGGAATTCATCTTCGAATCTTTTTATCTCCTCCTCGGAACGTCAGCAAAGGACACAAAGGCTTGACAACACTTGGTCCAATCCATGACGAAAAAACTTTAATGGCTAATTCGAGTATCCTGGACGGAAGGAATGCTCCCGGTGTTTCATCCACTACATCAGTATCGAGTTTTTCCATTTTTTATAACGGCAGGTAATGCATTTCTCCAGCTGTATGTAAGCATCGTATGTAGTCTGGGATTGATTGCATTGTATGCGCGTTCATGTCTGCTGCAGTATGTTGAAAATCTGGGTTAAAAATTGTTGTAGAATACTTACCTGTCCAACAAGTACGATCAGCTTCTTCGTGGAAAGCATTTTGTAATATTTGGTAGTCGTTCCGATAACTTCCTGTCATATTTTCGTCAAGATCCCACAGCATAGTAATTTCTTTCCAAAGGTCATTTTGAATTGGTTTGTACAAATTATCGTCCAAGTTCTTTTGACACTCGTTCTTACCAAGGAATGTCACAATCTGCAATTCGTCATCAAAAACAAAATTATCCTGTTTTCCGAGTCCACGTTGAACAACACAAGATTTTCCGCCATATTGTGTGGTAGCTAAACATTGTTCTACCTCCTTTGCCATATGTTCCATGTTTTCAAGATGATATTCGTCTCCAATTTCAAAATGTTTGTGAATTCCTTTGCTTGAGAATTCCTCGTTTGATAATGCACGGTTGTGAACAGCGTGTACTCGCTCTACTGGGTTACGCTTACTGTGGTATTCAGCAAATGATTTCTGTGTTACCGATTTTAACTTGAGAACTCTAGAAATTCGTGCCAACCACATTCTGACTAATTGGCTGGATAGTGCCTCTGATGGTCCGTTATCCACAATGAATACGAAATGCTCTTTTAACCTACCAGTTTTGGGATTTCGAAAGCATTCGTCAAGCGCGGGATTAATCAGCAATAGGAAAAGCTCGTTGTAGACTCTTTGCCCAGTCTGTGGCTCAAAATACGACAGGCTTAATAAGGTTGATGCCTTCCCTGCTCTTCTAACACCATAGATATACTTATTATCTGCGTTATCTTCTAAAGCTAAGTCTGTGTTCAGACAGAGATGTGTCATTGGGGTCACTGAGTTGTATGTAGTCCTACTCCAGTCATGATCTGGAAGTGTAATTTTCTTCCATGTTTTCCCAGTTTTTTGTACTGAAGCTACATCGGCTTGAATTTTGGCTTTCGCATCTTTTGAATCAACAACCACATTTTCCGGAAATTTATTCGCATAGTCCAAAGTTAGATTCACGTTTTGCGTAGACCAATGAAGATTAACAACAAATTGTTCCACTCCAGTACGCGGGGGCTTGTGAAGAGATATGCAGGCATTTATTCCCTTGCCAGAATGGTGACGTTTGGCCTGATAGGTCCCCTGTCTAAAATTCTGAGTATAATTATAACAGGAAGAGAGGCATATGTCGAATCCTTTTGGCGCCAACGTTAAATTGTCTCCCGTGCATTTTTCATCACAGTGTTGCTGTCAGTAGCGCGATATAGAACTGTATCGATAAGTCTAGGGTGGCTTTCCAAACCTCCCCCGTGCTCGGTTTATCCGATCTGCTTCCCCAAAAGCATACTCAAGAATAGCTGCGAGATCAGGAAGTTGTTCACATTTGAGCTCTCTTCCTCTTCCTTTAAATACATGGCGTAGGTTGTTTAATTTCATTGTTTGTAATGTTCTGGGTTTTTTTCCGTAACGCCTCACCAGATAACGAAGTCTCCAAATCATCTACTTCTATTTTCATCTCTTCGAAAACCTGCAAATTTTTTGTAACAATGTCTCTCGATTGTTTAAAAGTTCTTTTGTCTTGAACATTAGCTATGTTGGCAATGAAATTAATGCTAGTGATTTTTGTCAGTACCGCTTTTAATGTATCACGATCACGTTTGCTGTCAAGATAATCATCCATTGTTGTCTCATAACTATCCCCAATTGCTTCTTCGACCTTCCTATTTACGATGCTTTCGTCCAATATTTCAATACCTTGAACGGAATCCAGCAATTTCATTACCGCTTTGCCATGATTTTCAGTCGTATAGCATCTCCCTCCAATATAGACTTGCGCTACATTTACATGTAGATGCTTGGACAAAATCTCTATCATGCGCGATGATTCGATGCGTGTAGACTCCTTTAGTGATTTTATTTCTTTGTACATTTCAGCCAGTTTTTGAGTAGGAACAATGTACCCATTATCCATTAAAAATCTTGTGTGAGATTGTTGATTATTTGATCCTACAGCACTTAGCTTTTCGAGCAACAACTCAATATTTTCAGACAGATTACCAGTAACACCCCCACGTACAAGCCCTTTTCTTTTGGAATCTTCGAAGACAACTTGATTGTTCATGCGTGCTTCTGTCCTCGCTACATTAGCTAAAGCATTTACTCCTTTTTCAAAGTACCATCTTAAATTAGGTCCATTAAGTGGCAAAACTTCTTCGTCGTCGTTGGTGACATTTGGACTCGCTTCTGAGACTTCTACATTGTTCTGGCTATTACTGTTTTTCAGAGGGATAAAATATGAGCGAAAGCTGTCCTTGATCTTAGGTCTTGGAATAGATTCCGTTTCTTTCTTCTTTTCTTTTGCAGTATCATTCCCAAGCTCCTTCTTTATATCCATATTTTCCTTTTTGTTGTCAAGTCTATTATCATTGTTTGGAAGTGCTTGATCTTACAGCTCTGAACATGATGATTCAGTTGAAGGTATTGGCACACGCACTACGTCAGTTTTACCTTTCTTAGCAGGAGTGTTGGATTGGACGTTTCTGTTCCTTTCTGCAAACTTTCACACGGGAGGACAAAAAATCGTTTTTACTCTGATTTGGCGAAGCATTTGGATCTTTCAGCTCTTAAAATGATTATTCAGTTGAAGGCATTGGCACACGCACCGCTTCATGTTTACATTTCTTAGCAGGACTATTAGTACAATCCACTTTCATTTGCCGCGAATTTGAAGTGTTGGATGGACGTTTCTGTTCCTTTCTGCAAACTTTCACGGGAGAAGACAAAAAATCGTGTTTATTCTGATTTGATGAAGGGTTTGGATTTGAATTTTGTTCAACATTTCGATCATGTAACTTTACATTAATGCGTTCTTTCTCGTTGCCAAATTGATTATCATTGCTTGGAAGTGTTTGATCTTTCAGCTCTGAAAATGATGATTCAGTTGAAGGCATTGGCACACGCACCGCTTTATGTTTACATTTTTAGCAGGAGTATTAGTACAATCCACTTTCATTTGCCGCGATTTTGAAGTGTTGGATGGATACTTCTGTTCCTTTCTGAAAACTTTCAAACCAGGAGACTTGAATTGCCTTTCGCTTTTCGGGAATGTTTTCATTTTGGTAAGATTCTCGTGTTTCCCGGACATGTCGAGTCCTAATTTTACAGCATTTGCGTACGGTGTCGACGTCGTTGGATTCATAAATTCGTCTTTTATCAAGGGAAAAAAATAATTGGGCGTCCAACCTCGAAGCGCAACTTTATTAAGTCTTGTCCACATTATTGAAAAAAAGTCATCCTTCGCGCATGACCGTATCTCGCCGTTGACCACATTTTCCCGTGGGTAAAATAGCCCATGTAGTGCTTTTTTAGTTGCAGAAGATGTAATTACATTTGGGTACACAGAAAATATTGGCTTTCCTATAACAGATGATAAAGCTAACAGATGGAAAGGGCTTGAGAATACAAATGACTTAGCAGCCTTCTTTGCTAAGAGCTTTATGTACTATTTAAAAAACGAGCGGGAGTGTTTTATTAGGTTTAAAACCATGAGCGCGCAGCGCGAGTGGCTTTAGACCTAATAAACACGACCCGCGAGTTTTTTAAATGACTTCAAAAACGTATGCATAATAAGTCAAATTTTTATATAAAAATCTTTATATAAAAATCTTTATATAAAAATCTTTATATAAAAACCTTTATATAGTTTGCATAACAATGGTCTTTTGTTAAAGTGTTCTTTAGCTGGTATAAAGACGTATGCACATGACTAATTTCTTACTCAAGATTGGATAATTGCTTCATGAATTATTAATGAGTTTTTGAAGGCAAGATAAAGCCTTTCTGTGTTTCCATTATAGGCTAAACTTCTTGAGCTTCATCATCACTGAGAAAAATGGATATTATTGATAATAAGGAATAACCAGACTCTTCTGCGCTTTGTAACAATTGTGGATGTTTAGCATAAAAGTCATTGTGACCAATCAGCTCAGCAGCAGTTAAAAGACGTAAAATAGCGGATAACGATTCATTACCCGATATCAAAATTGAAATTGAATTATAAAGACAGTTTTTAAAATCAGGCATCCAGTCTTTAAAATCGCTAGGAAGAAGAGATTTCGATAGCACATGTTCAATTCGGTTTTTATATTTAGGCTTTTTCTCCAGAGCATTTCAAATTATATGTCTCATCCTAGCCAGAATATCTAAAGCAGTTTCCTCATTATTCAAATATTTTTCTAGTTTTTTTTTTATCCTATATGGACTGCTTACGGTGGCTAAATCTTCCATTTTGATGCCAAGATCGTCCTAAAATCAAACAATAGTCTTGCTCAGTGTTATAGTTAAGGAATATATATGTTTGGATAAGGCCCTCTAAATCTTGAATAACAGAATAAGGACCTATTACAATTTGTTGATGAACCGCAATATCAAATAAATAAACAAATTTGACTAACATTGATTTGCTTATACCCATGCATGCAGAGGCTTATACCCAATGCAATTAACAACTTTAAATAGTTCAGATATTCTACTTAATTATCAGTATAATTCCTAACCAGTTATATAACCATGTCCATGTACTTAATTGTGTCAAAAACTTTTGCAATCACGCTAAATGATAACGTCCCAACAATTATTGGCAATTCAGATGAAAAGTGTAATAGCTTTCTCAAAAATTGATTATTGTTCACGATATTGTGCATGCTGCGTGATTTGAACATTATATAAAAAAATCGCCCGCGCCAGCCCGATTTTTTGGCTATAACTGAATGCATGAAGGCAGATTTGACGCATATGACCTTGTTATAGTTAGTGTCGAAATGGTCGAAACCGTGTCACGTGCTGGTCCACAAAACGTCATGTTCGGCAACCGGTCCGCAATGAAACATTTATTGACCAGTCAATAATAAAATGGGTGCAATACTATGCTATATAGCAAAACACTTATTTACTGAGACCTGGGGAAAGCAGTGCTTTCCCGAGGTTTCAGTAAATAATCAAAGCAGTGTGTTTTGTACCCTGTATTCCAGAGCCTTCAGTAAATAATATAAAATTGAAACGTCGTGAAGGCTCTGGTTCAACGGAAGGATTCTTTGATTAAACCGCGCCAATCACAAAAGAGAATTAGTGGTTTTAGTACAGAATCTGTACTAAATCCGCGAAGGCGAGTGATTTTGCTCGTTTTTCTTAACTCGAACAACATTCCCAAGTGTTTGGATCAGGCCATCCAAACACGGAAACCATAAAGTAATTGTTTTTATAAAATAACAACTTTCTGTGGTAAAATTTCACATTAAAAAACTTTCACTTTAAATTTACGTGTTTGGGTGGCCTGATCCAAACACGGGTTTCGACCAATCAGAGCACGCGTTATATACCTGTTATTTTATAATTGATATTATTAATAATTATTAGAACTTTTGTGATTTGGAATTGGAATGGACGGATTCCAGCTATATAACATTTTGACTAAATTTTGATCTAGGCAAGAAGAACTAAATCCATCAGTACAGAAACAGCATGTTAAAATTAGTAAAATTGCAAAGTTTGGTTGCAAAATGTTGTAAAATGGGGAAAATATAGCCCTACGAAATTTGCAAATTTTGTATTAATTTAATTTGTATTGCGCACGGGAAAATGCATAACCACTTTCGGCCCAAATCATGTTGTGGTGCATTTTCCCGCGCGTATTATTAATGCAAAATTTACAAATTTTGCAGGGCTATATTTTCCCCATTTTACAACATTTTTCGTACAAACTTTGCAATTCTACTAATTCTAAGTTCTATAAACATACTCTTTCCAGCTGTGGTGATGAATTTTGCATGTTCTTGATTCTCGCGATTGCATGTCGACAATGTCATTATACTCATTAGCATTGATATGCATCAATGGGCTAGGCCTTAGGCTTAGGGCTGAAACAAACTAATTTGAACTTTATTATATAGATTGAAATTTTTTACTACAAAATGTTTTGAAACTCAGTTTAAGTGTTTATTGAAACACAAAACTGCACTCAGTTCACTGTCTTAAACGCACTCAGTTCACTGACACTGTCTGAAACTTTTAAGCGTTTATTGAAACACAACAGCATTTTGATGCTAGTGCGACTCCTTAAATTTATATTTGTTTTATTACATTTTCGATATAAAAGCCTGCGTCGGCTTCGATATTTCAGCCCGGCTGCCGTGTATAATGAGCAGGCCCGTAGCTGAGAGGGGGGGGGGGACTGGGGGGTGGAAATGCTCCCCACTCAGAAAAAAAATGAAATTATGCCCCCCCCCCTTATTCCACATTTTTTACCATTTAAAAAAAATAGACAAACGCGGCTGTCATTACCCTGAGAGCAGAGCCTGATTTCCCCTCGCGTAGAAAATAAGGCTCTGCCGTTTTTGTGTTTTTGTTCGTCCAAAATTCTGGACGAAGTAAACCGGTAATAAACCAGTTATAACCGGTTTTAAACGCGCGCGCCTTCGTTTTGCATGTAAACCGATGACTACAATTTGAGCCCGCTATATATTTACAAAATTTAAAACTTTATACTTTATAAGCGAAATTTGGCTGAGAATAACTTAAATATACTGAAAAGTAACGTAGGATAAAATAAACTAGCAAGTTGGAAATTGTAAAATATAGTAATAGTTTGATTTCACAACTGACAAGTGACAAAACTATCGATTTGAAAATGTTTTTGTATTGTTTATATTGTCGTTATTGTACAGCACGTGCAGTTGCACGCCTCCAGCATGTGGCGATAACTGCATGTGATTGGTTCTCTAAATTTAGCAGTCATTCTAAAAATACAAGTGATCTTTGACATGTTTTGACATAATATTGGAAACAGAGCATACTGGACAGAAATTAAACACAACAAGAAAATATTTCTTTAAAAAAGAAATAATGTTCCTTTTCCGTGGTTCCAATATAATTATAGAAATACTAGACGTCTTTAATTAGCGGTTGTGACCAATAGATCACTGGTTCATTTTGTGAAGCGGGCGGGTTCTGGTAATTTTTTGCACGTTTTAGTAATTTTCATTACCTAGTAGTATTAGCATTAGTATTTAAAATGAGGAAAAACAAAGAAAACTATATAATAAATATATACCGCTGTTGGCGCTTTGTTTTAATAAAGAATTTTTAAAAATACTTCAAATATAAATCATCGTGCCTGTAGATTGGCGGGCAAAATTTGCTTGCAGGCAAAAAAATCACCGCTCCGAGATTTATATATTATCTAAAAGGTTTAACAGTATAAAGATACACAAACACACGTCCTTGGTCCACACACACTGATTCATGAAATTAACATTTATCAACAAGGCTACGAAGCATGGGTGGACGACAATTAGGTATGTATATTTATAGTTTTTGTATAAAATCCTATGCATCTGATTTATTTTCTTTGGCTCTTTGCTAAATATATGTATGCACATACTTTAAAATATTTGAAAAACATTGTGTCTTTATATTGAGGTCGATGACGGAAATTGGCGGTTCATTTTCTGTTCACCGAACAAATCCAAGCCTATAAACTGATATTTTTATAATAAGTGGGAAAAACTTGATAAAGATGCACATGGCCAAATTTGTGAAAAATGTATTTTTATATTAGTAAGGGTTTGCCTTTGGTACAAATATTAAATGTATTTATGCTTAATACGCTTAATTATATATATTGTACAGCAATACAGAATTTGCATGCAAATATCAAATGTTAATACTCATGCAATTAAATAATATGAAAAATATATACTAATACAGTCGACCAAGTCCTTGCCTCTACTTAATATGGACACCTCTTAAAGTATTCATGCTTAATAGGCTTAATTATATATATTCCCGGGCGTACTTATAATCGATAAATATCGATATCAATCAATACCAATTGATATATTTACATGTATTAAATAATCAATTGATATTAGAAATCAATGAATATCTGTAACTTTGTAAATTTGGTGTGACTTTCATCGATTGATTATTGATTTTTTATCGATTTTCATTGATGGAAAAACCTGTGTTCATATGCATGCAATCAAACAGGTAACGCTGTAATTTAATTAATACATACTTTAATTAATGTTGTAACAAAAAAATGTTAACGGATTCAGTAAAAATGAATGAATTAATTAACTTTTTATCTGGCCATACAGATCGAATACATGTGTATCTTCGAAAAATGGGAACAGATAATTACCTGTAAGTACGCCGGGATATATTATACAGCAATAGAGAATTTGCATGCAAATGTCAAATGTTAATACTCATGGTATGCAATTAAGTAATATGAAAATTATATACTGTCTACCTCTACTTAATATGGACACCTCTTGTAGACGGACACTGTTCTTGGGTCCTAGTCAAAACACAGCTATTATATGTTAGTACGTATATAAACTTCTCTTAGGCAGAAACCAAGTCTAGTCATGAGGGGCGAGGGTGTCCATTTGTATTATTAAACACAACAAAAACACAACTATGTAGTACACTGTTTTCTTGGAAGGATGTTAGAGAAGAATGATCTCTTGAATAATATCATCGTTCTCCTTGTATTTTAGGGAGATTGGTAGTTTTTGTAGCAGCGCAGCTGTCAACTCTTCAGCTTGATGGTTTTCATTTTCATCAATGGTGAAAAGTTGGATGAATACTTTTTGGAACACTGTGACAGACTTTAAGTCTTCTTCAGTCTGAAGGCAGAGATTACTCACGTATGCTTTTTGCAATTTGTCATCAGGATAAATTTTTGAACAACGCGGGCACTGGTTGGTGGAATCGAGCTTTTTGTTTCTGCATTGTTTGTTACTGCAGCTGTTGTAGCAAATAACATTTTGAATGCCAATGATGGTTCCATCTTTGTAGAGTTGATCATATTCATCATCAGTGTCAATGAGGATCAAGTCCTGGTTTTCAGACACCTATTCAAGCATAAATTAAGACAATATATAGCTGCTGTAAGTTCAAGCAGCAGTGTCGCAAGTTATAAGTGAGGACTATAAGCTTTGTGTTATAAGTACAGAAAAGGTATGTGTAATTATGGCAAATAGAGCATAACAATAATGTGGACTACAGACGTTATATGTACATATATTGTTCATAAGATGGAAAAAGAAGCTCTTGCATATTTGATTTTATGCAATAAGCTATGTCAGACTTTCAATTTATGTGACTTATTTAATTTTTATAGAATATATTTGGATTTTGTAAATCACACAATAAAAGATAATGAGATTAATAAATCATTTCGATAATTATGTTGCACATATTTTTTGGTCTTGGAGCCTCGCTCTCATCAGTAAATTATGCAAGGTGATTGGCTCATGATTCATGAGAGCTAGGCTCCCAAGTCAAATGATGTAATTATCAAAAGGGTGTATTGTTCTAGATAACAGTGAAATATTTCTCATGCTACTGAAGAGTTAGGATCTGTTTTTTCAGCTATTATAATTTTTCATTTACCTTCACTTGAGTTTGAGTTGTTGAAGATGCCATTGGTCTATTCTGGAACATTGATGTCTGTAGTCCAGTAAATGAGATAACGTCTCCTTGGGAAAGTGGTAGGGATGCCTTGTCTTTCCAGAGGGATACTTGCATTATCCCAGTTGTGTCTTTCAAGAACACTTCTTGAGGTCTATCGAGTTATTTTTTACCTTTATTGGTGGTTCAATCTACAGTACATAGTAGAGGTAGAATTAAAACACACTATATATAGTTGTTACAGACTATTATAATTACACTTTTATAGCAAGTAAGGGTTTCAGATACAAAGTTGGATTATATATGTACTCACCATCTAAGAAACAGTTTTTAAATTAGAGACATAAATACTGTATTACTGGCAAACTTTTCTACTTTAGGGAATAGGGTACATATATGCAGCAATTTATTCTTCTTAGGAGCTATACAGAAAGTGAATACTAATCAAAGCTTTTTTTGGCAAATGAAATCACTCATACATACCTTTGTAATTTTTCCCTCAATGGATATTTGTTGTTTTCTAGGAAGTTTCAATGCCTCTGCTATTGGGGTGAATTTGATGGTTGGGAAGGATGGTAGGAGTGGCAGTGGTAAGTTTTGTTTCAAGTTGAATGTTGGAACAAGGAAGATGCTTGATTGCATGTTGATGTTCAATTGAGGCTCTTCGTCACAAGTGGTTATGGTGCACTTTGAAATAACAATTGATGTGTTTTTCTGAAAGAATTTTTTGACAATGTCTTTTTCGTTTGAAATGTGACATTTGATTGTGCCTGAATCATCAGCAACAATACTCATGACAATGACATTTGGTGTGGTTGGATTATCATCATGATGGTACACTGGATCCACAATAACTTTAACTTTAATTGGTTTTGTTATAATTGCTTTTTCATCAGATGATGGAACATTTTTCAGGTCAGAGACAGTTTGAAATGACATCTTAACAGAAAATAAGAAAATTTTAACTAATTAGCCTTTCTCACACCGACATTTTTTGGTGGCAACCTTTTTACAACAGGGATAGTAAGCTGTAAAAATGAAACTTTCTATAACTACAGTATAGTACTGTATACATAATGATTATAAATCGATTTACAGTTAAATATTTGAAAAATTATTTTCATATCGCTTAGATTTTTCACGTTGTTTATAAAATAGTGATCCAAAAATGGCAGATATATAATTTAGACCTTTGTGAGAAAGGCTAATTAATTATCTGGCAGTTGTGTGTCTCTTGTTAGGTTTAATAGTCGTTGCATTTCCTGAGTAACCTTTCTTGAAACTTTTATAGACTTTTCAGTGAATTCTGTTAGTGCAAGACCACGTAAAGTTTGTACACGACGTACAAACTTTGTACAATGCTACATATGCCTGTCCAGGTTTATTGCATTTGGGTCCCAAATTGATTACAACATTAGACACAGTCATTCCTTGGCTTTTGTGAATTGTTACTGCCCATGCTGGCATAAGTGGTATCACTTCCCTTGGGCCTGCACGCGGGCTACTGGACTATAAATATCTCATTCACCCTAGTTTAACAACCCACAATTGATTCACTGGATTTTGTTGTATTTTTTACAGAGCATTCATGCTTGCAAAAAACCTTACGAAGAGAACAAGTCAAAGCACTTTCTTCCAAGAAGTATGAACATCTTTGCGCCAGATGTGCTAACAGCCAAATCCCGATTCTTGTACTATGACAGTTACAGAGGCTGTGGGATCATGCTATCGTAATATGGCAGCGAGGCATCGTGCTAGATCAACAGTCATACAGATCTTGGAGATGGAAATTATCCCTGCTTCAAAATGTCGTAGACCTGCCATGAAACAGCTCTTTAACTCGAAGATTCACTTCCATCTGGCACACAGGGTGATGAAATAAATATTGAATATTGTCTGACTTGACAAAGAAACCGTAATATTGGTAAGCTTTGTTGCCAGTTACCTTTTTATGACTTGAAGATTGTTCACAGAAAAAATTGAGTTTGTAGTTAATGGGATCTAATCATGATCCCGGATTGTATCCTTGCGGGGAGTTTGACCAGGTACCGGAACCATATTTTTCCGGTTAGCTTTTCCATATTTTCTTTTCTATAGCAATCTAGCATATGCAGACTTTGCGGCATTTTTAAGGACCTGGATCCCGAACGAACACGAACCCAAATCGAGCAAGCTGACCATTGAAAATTGTTTTCCCTTGATGGTACCTTTTCATATGGGGGTCAGCACTTTTGAGGAAAATGGGTCATAATGTTATGTTAGTGAGGCCCACCAAGGGGTTATGACCGACAGGCGACATTCCTTAAAGAGGTGACAGACTATCTGAAAAAGAGCGACAAACGACAGCTCCTGACTGGGAAACAAATAGTCCAGTCAAATCACCATAAGTAAATGTTCCTGATCAAAGTAATCGCAATAGATTTGTTTTCAGTGGTAAAGTGTGAGAAAGTTGAAATTTTGAAATCATTTTTAGACAAATGTAACCTACATTATTGGAAAGCTTAGAAAAAACTAAAATATGGATCATTAAACGGTTATCTTGCTTTTGCCTATCCAGCTGAAGTTATACAAGATTTAAAATGCCATAAATTTGTATTTTGTGCAAATTTTGCACTGTCAAGTGCGAACCGTACGGTTCGTGAAATTTTTTAAGGTGGCTCAATACAGTTTTAAAAAAATGGAAAATTCACGATTTAGATAAGTATTTTTGGACAATTACTACTTGTTGATAAACTTTTGGTTTTTAAAGTAATTTAACTCGTAAACGGAATCGGTGACCCCAAATTCTATTCTAAAAACCGATTTCTCTTAGTATAATCAATTACTTTGACAATTAAAAAAATTATTATGTATAATCACCTTTATTCAATTTTAAAAATTTCTCCTCCACAGAATTTTTTTAAATTGGCAAAATAATTGATTATATTAAGAGAACTCATTTTTAAAAATAAAATTTTGAGGTCACCGATTAATTTAAAGCCAAAATATCCGCCATCTTGAAACATCATTGTTGCCATAGCAACGACAGTTGCATAACGTTTGCGCAAAAATTCAAACTCTTTTGATGTTGTTTTATATATATATAAGTAAGGTACTTTTTGTTTGTCAACAAGTAATAATTGCCCAAGAATATACGCATCTAAATCGTGAATTTCCCACCACGAATTTTATTGAGCCACCTTAAGCCTGGTTTCCATATGGCCGTAACGGTAATAGAGATTGAGTCACGATCTTTTTCATCAGCCGAAATACAACATTTTAGAACTGAAAATACGCGGAATGATTATAATTAGATAATACTTATGATTTATATGTGGTTTACAGGTATAAACTGTTAAAAACTGGCCGTTGAGGAACAGCGTCACTCTATTCTTACGATGATTACGACCATATGGAAACCAGGTTTAACGGATTGTGAACTTACTTTGTTGATCCGTCTTTCATATTATTGGCAATATTGCTTCGTTCATTAAAAAATATTGCTCGAACTAAATAACTAAGTCAAACGTTATAAAACCTTCAGGTTACTGCCTCTACAGGGTGTATAAAAAACCCTGAACATTTGAAATTGCTCTCAATTTTGCAAAACAGCTATTATGTAGAATAATGTAGAATAATGAAAAAAAATACTCAAACTCAAATTTTGTGAACCAGGGGTGCGTGTCTTTTCCAACAGACTAAAAATGGCTTGCGCACGAAATTTAAAAGCTTTGATCATATTTTGAGTTAATAGACGGAAAAGTTGTTGGGTTTTTAATTACTGTACAAAATTTCAGACAATTTGCCTCAGTTTGGGTCCTTTAGCTACTCATTTTATCCTAAAAAACAGCCTTTCGCATGCTTAATTAATGCCTTTACCTAATTTGCATATTGCTGACTTATGCAAATTAGGCAAAAGGCATCAATTAAGCAAGCAAATAACTGATTTTTAGGAAAAAATGTAAGTTTGCGTGAGCAGTTAAAGCAAATTGTCTGAAATTTTGGACAGTTATTAAAAACCCAACAAATTTTCCATCTATTAGCTCAAAATATGATTAAAGCTTTCAAATTTCGTGCAAAAGCTATTTTTAGTTTGTTGGAAAAGACAAACCCCCCTGGTTCACAAAATTTAAGTTCCAGAATTTTTTTTCATTATTCTACATTATATAAGTACCCAAACAGGCTATATACATAAAAAAAAACTGGTTATTAATAGCTCTTTTGCGAAATTGAGAGCAAATTCATATCTGTTCAGTTTTTTTATACACCTCACTCATATTATCGTTTCGACTAATCTGTAAATAGAAGCTCAGGATGCGTATATGATCATTCATATTAGTTATATATTGCTGCGACTGCAACTATTATATAATATAACCTTCAGAGCACAGCCTCTATATTATCAATCATATTAATATATTATTACGCTCTATTATTATTTGTTGGGATTCCACGTAGATTATACCTTATCCCGTATATTACTATGCTCAATAATGTTACACAACAGCAAAAAGAGAACATGGATCGATAGTATATATGTATTTAGTTTTTATTACAATCAAAATCGTTTTTTCGCAACAACTTTAAAATCTTGTGGTCGTACAACTAGTGCTGGGCCGGAAATGTCTGTACTTGGCCTGTCTGCTCCTTCTGGCAATTCGATCTTGTAACGATGTAACAATGTTGAAGCGAAATTGAACATCATTATCTTTGCCAATGACTGGCCAGCGCATTCCCTACGACCAAGACTAAATGGTAGAAATGCATGATGTTTGGACCAACCAATGAATGCTCCATCAGAATCTAGGAATCGTTCAGGTCTAAATTTATTTGGCTCTGGCCAATCTCTCCCGTCGTGGTGCAGTTGAGTGTAATTAAGAGCAACAAAGGTACCTTTTGGAATGTGATAACCAGCGATGGTTGTGTCACGAATAGCGTTAGTCCCGGCAATTAAAGCTACACCTGATATCCTTTGTACTTCACACAATGTAGCTTGTAGGTACGGAAATTTCTCAGCATCTTTCCAACGAGGTAAGCGATCCTTATCCATTACAACGTCTAGCTCTTTGTGAATTTTCTTTTGAACCTCATCATGTAACAAAACATACAAAATAAACCAAGCAAGTGACGTGGACGTTGTATCTGATCCAAGGAAGGTAACATCAACCATTATATTTGGGATGTCTTCAATGGACCCAATGTCTTTACCAGTCTCTTTCGCCATCTCTTTCTCGTAGGCACAGATAAAGCTATCAGTAAGATCCCGAATAACGCCAGGCGTGTAGGTCTCCAGGTGTGCTCGAAATACTGGGGGAAACAAATTGTTCTTTAATTGTAGTGCACGCTTGATATCCCGAGTGAACTGTGTTGGCAGATACGTTAAAAATGGAATCAATTGGTATAAAGAAGATTGCAAAGCTTGTTTTGAAACTATATCACCAAATTCTCTGAGATGCTCTATAGTTGGGTCATGTAGTGATAACTTCTTTGATGTAACCCATTCCCAAAGTTGTACCAGTATTGAAGACTCCAAAAGTTCCTTTGGTGAGAAGGGCTGACCTTCCATATTGTCGATCTCATGCAACGCAGTTTCAACAGCATGTCTCATTCGATCCTCAGCTTCTTCTGCGCCCGCTCCAAAAACATGCATAGCTGACTTGAATACTCTTCTGCGAAATAGAAACGCAGTTGAATAATCCATTGTAGCTAAGTCTTCACCTAGAATTTCACCAAAAGGATAAAAGGACTTAGGTGATTTGCCTGCAAGATCATCTTTCCTTTCAAGTTTTGCTTCCCGTGCAAGCGAGGCTGTATTTAGCACCACCATAATTTCCTTTGGAAACGAAAGTGTAAAAATATCTCCGTATTTCTCAGCAAGTTTTCCAAAAGGATTTACAGGATCACACATCATATGAGGAAGGTTTCCAACTAACGGGAAGGGAAATGGACCTGGTGGCAATTTGCGCCTTGTAAAATAGGTGCTGATCACATTCCAGATGAGCCAAACAAGAAATATGGACAAACAGACTTCTCCAATCATGATATTAATTGTGAATCTACATAAGTGAAGAATAAGTTGTTAGAACATGTACTATTGTAGAAGCGCTGCAAAATCTTTGCATGGCTAAGCCAGGAGTGAAACCCAAATAAAATTAGGTGGACGAATTTTCGTTTCGTCTAAGTGAGCTCAGTAAAACACTTCTATTTATTAGTACCAGAGCTATTGTAACAGAAAGAGTATAGAGGACTGCGGGTCAAGAATGCGGCAAGGATACAGATGCATGTCTTCAGTCTTTTTCACCAGCAAACTTAAAGAAGTCTTAATCAAGCTACTACGGGTTCTCACAAGAAAAAGAGTTAAATTTTACTTTTTTTATATAAAGAACGACCGTTACTAAGACAGCGACGAACGTTCAAAAATGACAGCTGTTAAAATCATATTATAATGACTTTCGGGCGTTGTGGTATATTTTTCTGGCTAAAATGAACAAGTTAGCGGGCTAAAATTTACCAAAAAAATATGAAACGAAAAGATATATCTATTTTCAAAAATTAAATAAGCTCGAATCCACTCAAATGAAACTACCTTTCTTATACCAAACTATCACTTCATAAATTGCATAAACTCTTTTTACATTCTTCTCTTTTTGTCTTTTGAAAACAGTTTTGTTTATTTTTCTCCATATATTATTTTTCTCGCTAGTACAACGAAATAACGGTGCAAGTATAGCGTGAAGACTCGCGACTTTCCAGCAATTATTCTATTATTTGTCGTTTATTTGCAATTTGTTTTTACTGCAATCACCCTCTAAAATCATTATAATAGTACGGCCACAGATAAAGTATGACCAGATGTGTAACTGAATAGGCCCTCGTCACAGAATAAGTCATACAGAAGCCAGACTCCTTGGTTTTTTCTATGATTTGAATTTGGCGTAACCGTCATTCGTCATCAAAATGCTCACGCGATGGTCCTAGGACCATGGCGTCAGCATTTTGATGATCAATCATGGCGTGGCAGCTGTTACTCGGGTCGACTTTCTGTGTGTCTTTATTCTGTGCCCTCGTGTCCGGTCTCAAATTTCTCTGGATGTACATGTCATGCTTACTCAGTGACACATGCTAGCAAAATGGCGTCCTGAAAAATACGAACTTCTACTTTATTGCGGCGTTTTTGGATCGAATTTTTTGGATTAAACAATACTACAGTTGATGTTCCCGGGCATAGATATGGTTTTGGCCGTCTTTAGAGTCAGAGTCTGGCCGAAAACATATTTGTGCCCGCGAACATCAACTCTATTGTTGTATTAATATAACAAAATTCATAATATTGTAGAACAGAAATGAGAATTATAATTCCACTGTAGTTTTAGATTTCACCGTCACTCTGTCGGTTACAACTTACAGCGCCAAAACACCGACTATCACTTCGTTCATACCATGGATAATAAAATGAATGGATAGGAAACTAGCTGACGTGACCTAATGTTTTCAATGGGCTGATGGCGTGATTGGATGTTGAAACCTAGTTGCAAACCAAATTCTCAAAAACGGCATGTTTAGCAATAATACAGCTAAACATTTTAGTCAAAGAGCAAATAAATATAACTACGCCATTCCATCGCTAAGAATAACCAGTCAATTTTAGCAAATATTTCAAGCACATTTCGTTAAAATTGGGGACGCCAATTTCGTAGCTACAAATGTAAAAAAATACGAAACAAAGACGAAAAACATTTACCTTGAATACTTTGTCGTGGCTTAGGCATGTTTTTAAAACAATTAGACCAGTTTATGCTTCAATATTACTCTTTTAAAGCGGAAAGTATAGCGAAAAAACAAAAATGCCGAGAACTTTGCAATACGCGTGACGTCACAGATTGCAACTAGGTTGTTTTTGCTTACGTCAGCTAGAGTCCTATCCATTTAATTTATTATCCATGGTTTATACAAAGGCTACATTTCGAGCTAGGATTCCTGCCACTTGAAATTTGATCCTATAGAACTCTTCCCAATCGCAATCCTTGTCTTAATTACTCCTCGATATTTAAACTGTTTAATTATTAAAATTCTACAAACAACGAAACCAAATTTGGCATGCCATTGTGTGTTAATTACTCGGTGTATGAAAATAATTATTTCATGATCATAAAGATCAGGCTTTTGGCTGTTGAATGACATATTTTGTATCCAATACGGAAAAAAAAGAGCAAATACGAGTCGAAATCGCATATTTCCACTGCTGCGCTTTAAGCCTGGTTCACACTGGTCGTAATTTATCGGATATCTATTGTATTCTTTTCCGACAGACAAAGCATTTTGCACACCAATGTCCACAAACAATGGAAATCCCCGATTCTTACGACCAGAATGAACCAGGCATAAAGGTGGGGTTACACGAGCAACAAATTGCTGCAACTTGCAACAAAATTACGCATGTTAATTGAAAATGTTTACACATAAATTACAAATCACAAGGCAACATGTGTCGACATTTCAACTTAACATGCGTTGAAATCTGAATTTGTTGCAAGTTGCAGCAATTTTGTTGCTAGTGTAACTCTAGCTTAATTAAATAACAGAAGGGAAAGCAATTAATCACGAATGTGTCATTTAAATAATGAGCTCAGGACTGGTTTACAAGACGTTTATGATAATTTTTGTATGGTATTTTGAAGGAAATATGCACTTTCGACAAACAATTTTTATCGTACTCGTATTTGCTCATTTTTTCTCCATATTGGATGAAAAACATGTAATTCAACAGCCAAAAGCCTGATCTTTATGATTATGAAAAAATTACGTTCACTCACCGAGTAATTAACACACAATGGCATGCTTAATTTGAATTTCGTTTTTTTTAGGCACCCTGTATTATTTTCATGCGATGGATAATAGATATTCTACAATCATGCATTCAACGAGTTTTGTTTGCCGTTGTCGTCCTACAATTGCTTAAGATCAGCAATGATTGTTCGATACTGTGACAGTATTTCTGTCTGTAAATATCTTTGCTGCATGCTGTTCTTGAATTTTTCTCTGTACTTTGTACAATAATTAGTAGTAGACCTCTCTCCTATAGGACAATTTTACCCTCTCTAATTTGATTCATACATATTGTCTTTGTATTCATTTACATAAATATACATGCGTTCCTTACGATTGAAGTACATCTAGGCCGTTAATAACATGTTCTCTATATTTACGGTTATACATCTCGATAGTTTAATTTTTCATGGAGTTTACCAGCGATTATACGAATAAAACTAGTTTCATATATTCTGACACTGCAATCGAACAACGAAAAATTCGTTGGCTCGAGCGGGATTTGAACTCGCATCTTCGGGTATCTAGACCGCCGCTCTACCCATTGAACTATAACAGGGATTGGTAGCGAGTCTTATCCCATTTAATTAAGTGCACGAAATATTTCGTGACGACTTAACGCTTGTCTTAGAGGACGCGCAGTGTTTCAATTGTATTTCAGAATTGACCCATCCTCAGAAATACGAAAAACTAGTTTCACATTATTCTGACACTGCAATCGAGCAACGAAAAATTCGTTGCAGGGGCGTAGCGACTGGGGGGCTTGGGTGCGACGCCCAATAATTCCTAACTTCGAAAAGTTGGTCAAAATTTGAAAAGTTGGTCAAAGGAATTATTTAAATATTAAAGGAAATATTATTTTCAGAATTTTAGAAAAATTTCTTTGATAAACGGAGAAAATTTGTCATATCGGAAAAATTTTTTATGTCGCGAAAAGTTTGGATATGCCCGGAAAATTTTTTTCACCCCTAAAATGGTACACTGACCGAAATTTTTTTGGCGACGGGAAGGAGGGGTCGCCGAAAAAAATTTCGAGAAATATTTTTGCAAGGACGAACAAGTTGGTCATTTTCATTGAAAAAGTTGGTCATTATGGTATGACGCCCTCCCCCAATCTGGTATCGTTCGCCACGCCCCTAATTCGTTGGCTCAAGCGGGATTTGGATAAGACTCGCTACCAATCCCCGTTGACTCGATAGCTCAATAGGTAGAGCGGCGGTCTAGATACCCGAAGATGGGAGTTCAAATCCCGCTCGAGCCAACAAATTTTTCGTTGCTCGATTGCAGTGTCAGAATAATATGGAACTAGACGTTACTATCGCAAGGAAAATGCTGCCTCACCCCCGAGGTATCAAAGGCAAGGGAGCATACGCAATTTGCTAAATAAGGGCTGTTTATACGGATCCCGCTTAAACCACTTTGTCAGGACGAGATATAAGGCGCGCGATGGTTTTTGGAAAACTTTATTTTCTAGGGATGGATTATAGTTAACTGTAATCGAAAGGTTGTTCAAAAAGCTATAAAAATCTTGAGCTACATGATCTTCTCTACAACATTTGAGTTCGGTTATAGCCAGCGTTTGAACTTTCGTTTAGCCTAGTGACTTATTTCAATACAACAAAATCATCCCAACTTCCACCATGTAAACAGCCCAGAGTATGCCCGTTCACAGGTTAGGTGCTGGGCATGACCTAACCTGCGAACGGGCAAACTCTGGGTACGAGATTGCTAATACGCCTGTTCAGGATGCAGGAAAAGACTGAAAAATGCAATTTGAATATCAAACACCTTGCACAAAGTCGAAGGTCAGCTAAATATTCTAATTCTACTTTCTTGGCATGGTTGTTTTTTTTTATGAATGCCTTGAATGCTTATAACTTGCTTTTGTATGTATAATTATACTGTTAATGGTGAAGCTAGCCATTATTAAACTAAACTCTACGTGTCCAATGATTCATTCAAATATTATCACAATGTTGATATATATGGCAATATGAGATTGTCAGTATTCAGTGGCAAGCTAGCCATGGCAACTGGTCATGCTATGCTACCGAAACCTGCAAATCATTAAAAACTTGCATAACATGACTTGTTGCTACAATTTCATATACCTTATTGTGATAAAATTTACGCAGTACTAGAATTGGCGCAGCGCTGGGTTGCGCGAATTTTCGTAATGTGCGAAATATAATCCGCGCGAAAAGCTTTGTGATGTAATATGAGACACCGGTTGTTAGTAAAGCAAATCGGTTGATTTATTTAACGCACATCTACACATTTAACATATCATATGTTTTAAGTTGTCCTGTCAATATTAGAAATAAAAAATGTCTTCCTCCCGGACAATTTCAGTCGGGATATTCTCAGGTTCCACGTAGCATTCCGTTATGAATGCCTGCATTTTGCCACAGATCCTCAAACATTGTTGTAGTAGTGTAGTAGTAGAACTTTATTTATCCACGCTGACCCCGTCAACCGTAGCTGATTTCCACGGGGGGCGTGTGCCAGAAAATTATTTTACATGCAGAATATGATAAGGATAAGCTAAGCTATTACAGTAATATATAAATTTAAAAGATATAACAAATGTTTTGAGCTATTTACAGGTAAGTTATATTTACAAAGGTTACCAAGCACTAATGTGAGCAGCGATTTTATTTCGAAAGGAAGAAAGTGACTTGCTTTCCCTAATTTCTTTTGGTATAGAATTCCAAATGTTTGCTCCGTCGTACATAAAACTATTTTTCATGCTATTTGTACGTGGTTTTGGTAAATCAAAGGTGGCAACGATCATGTGTGAGCGCCGCATTGATAGTTCTAATAATAATAACATTTAATATCCATCTTTGGTTAAAAAAATAGAATGGATTTACAAGAAGTGCTAAGGTTAAAATTGATAAGAAGAAATTTTACTATTATTTACATCAATGTTGCTAAAAATGTTTATACTAGTTATATATTCTATAAAATTAATTTAGGACTGTTTTAAAAGGGATATAGCTCTAGGTATAAAGGATTGCCCGTGTCTTTTAGTATACGATACAACATATGGTAGATTATTTGTTGTTCTTAGATCGTGTTCATGGGTATAAGGTTGGGGGATAAGTTTATTACATGGGTTGGTCGGATCACTTAGAATTCTTTGATATTCCGTAATAGTTAGGTGTGCCCTTCTTTGTTCTAGCGTTTCAAAGTTGCACCGAGATGTGCCGAGGATTTTGATGCATCTGTTTTGAATGCTCTCTATTTCATCAATGAGATATTGTGGTAAACCACCCCATATCGGAGCTGCATATTCTAAAACAGGTCTAATCTTGGATTCATAACATGTAATACCGATCTCAGGAGGAAGATTCGCCCTACGGCATTCTCTCAGACTAAACATTCGTTTATTTGCTTTCCTTACAATGTTCTTAACATGACAGTTCCATTTCAAATTGTTTTGATGCCAGACACCCAACAGTTTATGAGAATTTACTCTTTCCACTACCTCGTTTCCAATAACCAATGGTTCTGGTGCCGGTATTGCTGTGTTAAAACATATCCACATATCTTTTGTTTTCTTCGAATTTATCGTCATTTTGTTCCTATTAGACCATTCTTGTACTGCTTCAAGGGCCTCCTGCATATGGCTGGATGAATCTTGTGACACCACTTCGTCCTGTGTACAATCATCCGCGTATTTGCATATGTTTATGGATAATCCATTTGGGATTGAGTTCTCAATATCATTAATGTGAATATTAAAAAGAGCGGGGGACATCACAGAACCTTGTGGGACTCCTGCAGGACAAGGTTTGACCGATGATAGGGTTCCTGCTAGTTTGACCTGTTGTCTTCTATCTTCCAGAAAACTACACGTCCATAGCCAAAAGGCTTTGGTTACATTCATTTCTGCGAGCTTACGAAGTAGAATTCCGTGGTCAACAAGGTCAAACGTTTTGCGAAAATCTATGAATAGTGCATGAACTCCATTTTTGGCGCTATGAGTATTGTCGGTCACATTAAACCAGTTCTGCGAGATGTTGGTGAGTGCGGACACGGTTGATCGTTTGCTTGTAAAGGCATGCTGATTATCATTTATACGTGAACTGGGAAGGTTCAGTTTGAGCTGCAGCTTTTCCAGCACTTTAGCCATTTGGGGAAGAATGGATATCTGGCGAAAGTCATTCTCTATATCTCTAGGTGGATTGACCTTCGGAACTGGGATAACTAAGGCGTGTTTATACGCAGTTGGATATTCACATTCTTTTATACTGGCGCAAATAATGTCATGAACGATGGGCGCTAGTTCTTCACAGTATCGTTTAAGCACCCATGCTGGAATCCCATCGGACCCGTTGGCTTTTTTAGAGTTTAGTTGTTTCAAGGCAGTCTTAACCTGTCCAATTGAGGGAGTAGGAGGATTTTCTTGCCTCAGTGATGACGCTACGTCTTCAAGACTAGGGAGTATGGTTTCAGGAAGTTTTGACCATGGTTTAGTAAATATATTCTGCAGTATTTCCACTGTATCGGGAGTGCTGTCTGAAATTAAGTTGTTGTTTAAATTGTCACCTTCAAAGCCAGCTAACTGGGATATCGTTCTATGCCATTTTGCTGCATCGTGTTTGCGTTTGCTTTTGACCTTAGATGAATAAAATTCTGCTTTAGCTTTCTTGATAAGTGTAATGATCTTATCAGCCAATTGTCTATATTTGGTCATGTTCCGAGTAGTATAGGCTTTTTGCCTCGCTTTAATCTCTTTTTTGATATAAGCCGTCATCCATGGCTTGTCAGACGCATGGGTACGTATCGTGGTTACAGGTATTGTTTTATCTAATATGTCTATCATAGTATTTGTAAAAAGACTAACTTTGTTATTGATATCTCGAGCCTCAAATATTGATTTCCAGTCCTCAAGGTTTAATTTTAGGCCGAGTGCATTTAGGTTACATGGTTTCGTTAGGCGCACTTTTCGAGTAGAAGGCTTCACGGTTTGTATTGTTTTGGGACTATACAACAAACATTGATGGTCAGAGCGACCAACTGGAGGCAGGTGCACCACTTCTTTATATAAATCTGACATGTTCGTTAGTATTTGGTCTAAAACTCTGGTGCCTCTTGTCGGTGCTTTTACAGACTTCTTCAAGTTAAATCTTCTGCATAGTCTACTCAGCTTCATTTGATTGAAGTCTCCCATTATGCATACACCAGCAGACGGGTAATCTCGTAAGACAGAATCAAGTCCCCTAGTAATATACTCAATCAGTTCTCTTTCATTTACTGCCGACTGCCCTGGGGGGAAGTAGACGCCAACTGCCACTATAACGCTAAAAGGCCTAGGGGTTCTGGGGGGTTTAAGAAGCAGCCATAGGACCTCTCTGTTATCTTCTTCTAAATTTTTTAGACATGTAGTTGGTATACAAGCGTTCACATATGCTAATACACCCCCTCCTGGTGTAAGTCGGTCGCGCCGATAGGTATTGAACATTCTTCCAATGCTTATAGCAGAGTCGGGTATATTTGTATTCAGTCATGACTCTGTAATCATAATCAAGGAGGGACTGTTCATTTCAACAATAGCGTGTAGATCGTCAACTTTGTTCGAAATGTGACATATGTTCGTTAGGAGGATAGTTGGCATGTTAGATGTAGTTTTATTACCGGTTTGATTAGTCGGTCTAGGATTCCGTTTTGAAATGTTTAAAGTAATTAGGTTGGTAGGGTTGCGCCTATTTCGTTTATATCTATAATTACGTGATGAGATTATAACTGGAATATGAGCCATTATATGTAGGTTGAATATTTCCCAAGATGGGTGCTACTTTTCTTTGACCACATAATTTGTGTTTCTTTCGATTTCCATAGCTTACAACTTATGTATTTAGGCCAGAAATTATCTTCCTAGCAGGGAACTGACGGCCGAAGGAACATGGATCTTAGATGAGATTGTTCCCCTGCGTCGACTTTTGAAAATGGAAATATAAGTCGGGATTATATTTCGTTTATTAAGAAAAGATAAGATTTGGTTTTCTTTCACATTATCGTCTATACCTGTTACGAGAAATTTCTTGGTTTTACTTCTATTTCGTTTGACACCGATAAAGCCATCGAGGTCACTAGACAACTCGTCAATTTCACGTTGTGAATTCTGGGGGCTAGATGTGGGTATTTTGTTCGTTTTAGGCATTGCCATAGATTTACGATTTTTAGAGACAGGAGAAGATGCTGCTACTTTTGCATATGTCATCTGATCCTTCCACTTTAGTTTGTTCAGCGCCATTTGAATCATTAGTTGATATAGGACGAGGTGCAGTAAACACATCGTTCGACAATTCTATAGGTTCTACTCTTTCAAATGAAGTAGAGGCATTTTCATTAGGTATTGTATGATCACACCCATTGTTCTCGGTAGGATTAATCAGTTGATTCGAGACAATAGGGCTGCATACTTTGGCTTTGTTACCATTGCAGATGTTTTCCCGATTTGCATATTCAAAAGCTCGTTCGTTATAATTGTTGACTCAGTCCGAAATTCATCATCGGGAATCTAGTTTTTATTTCTATCCATATAAACTCTTGAAATTGGCGAATTGCCGGTCCTATGTTAGAAATCGATTCCGATATAGCTTGGATCGCTTCGGAATTGGTTAATTGGCCAAGTTTAAGACTTTCGAGGTCTTCACAAACATCTTGCATGCTTGATTGCTTATCAACTGAAATGTCCTCGTCCTGCTTACATATCTGCTTGCATAATTCCTTCATAACATCGCACGTTTCTCGCCATCAAGATACAACAAGTTTTTATTCTTTTTCCATATTATTACTGAATCATCAAAGATAAAACTGAAACACTGAAACACATATTATTACTGAATCATCAAAGGTAAAACTGAAATATGAAACACTAGTTAAAAATGGCCGAGTCGCAAGGGTCAGAGAGCCATCCACTCCAAAGGCAAATCCTTATAATGCTGGTCGCCAAAACCACCAGGAAATCGAAAAGAACATTTCGCAAAAAGGTATGCAACGAAAATGTACTCGAATGATGCTATTGGTCGGTGGAAACATTTCGGAACTAAAGCTCGAATCAAAAGTGACGAGGGTTCGCGAATACTCTGCTGATCGAGCTTGTATGATACGAAACATCAAGACGGTTTTTATTGTGGTAAGCACATAACACATACCCTGGATATTTCAGTTATGTTAATGTTGTTATATTTCCTCATTACAAAACTTTATTGTGCACTAATATTAGCGCTGTGGAAATCCAGACGGATCAGCAGCCAGATGAAACAATACAATGTCAATGCAGAGATGAGCCATTGCCAGTATATGCATGTTCAGCAAGGGAAACAGCAATGGAGTCATGTAAAGATTCTTAAAGATTCTCCTAAGCAGTACGAATACATCCTATACAACTTATAATGAAGGTATGTATAACATTTTATGCTTTCCTGAATCCTGGTGAGAAAAAAAGTGACTTTTGGTTTTCATTATGAAATTCCATATTCTTTATATCACATTTTCAAACAAATCTTTTGTTCATTCTGCAATTCTGTAGGCATGTTAAGGGCACAGTAGCACCTGCTGATTGATGTGTTTTAATAGCACTTGAATGGCTTTTTGGAAGCCAAATTATGATTTGCATGAACATTAACAAAATCAAAATTTGGCTTGAAAAAAGCCATTTAAGTAGCAGACACTAATGTGCATTTAAACAGGAATAAAACTAATTATAAGTCTTCTTTAGGTATGGAGATTGGTGTTGCAAGTGATAACCGAAGGCAAATCGCTCCTAATATAACCCCTGTCCCTCCTCCATCAGTCAAAGAACTTGTTGAAACCCATCAGTCTAGATTCAACTGATCACTGTAGACAATGTGTAGATGATATGCATAAAGAACTGGACTGTGCGAATAGCTGGTCTAACAATTCGAACTTGCCAATGAATCCTACCAAGACAAAAACGATGGTTTTTTCAACATCCCAGATGTCCACAACTCATAACCTGGCTTCGTTGGATCTTGTCTCGATGCATATCAATCATCAAAACATCGAACGAACAAAGTCATGGAAGGTTTTGGGTATGAAGCTTAACGAACACCTTAAATGGAACCTTCATTTATACGGGTCTATACGGGTCATTGCCTGCATACCTTTTAAAACGGCTGCAAAAGGCTCAAAACTCGGCTGCTGGTTTTGTTAATGGCAGGTATTCTAAAGCTGGAGATGTGATCTCAATTGGTTGGTTACTAATTAAAGAAAGAATCGATTACAGTATTGCCAAACTTGCATTTCAAGCTCTTAATGACGAAAGATGGCCAGGTTATTTAACACTCGAAGTAAAAGAAGTTACTAGAGTTTTGAGAAGTAACAGTGATGGTACTTTAAGACTCAAACACTCTTACATCGAAGATACTTTTCAGTATAATGCTGCAAAAGTTTTTAATGATATTCCTGATGATTTTAAATGTATGGATTTTAAAAACTTTAAGATTTCCTTAAAGAAACTTTTACTAGATGAGATCGTAGTAAGGAAAGACTAAACTTAGACTGATAACTTTTAAATTATTTTAACTGTTTGGAGATTTTCAAATACTCCATTGTATAGTGACATAGATGTAAATAGTTTGTATTTTAATAGTAAGTCATTTTGTAATTTAATAGTAAGTCATAGTAAGTCGGATGAAGGGCCATATAAATAGATATGCCATATTAAATCATTATTATTATTATTATTATTATTATTATTATTATTATTATTATTATTATTATTATTATTATTATTATTATTATTATTATAAGTATCTGGCACTTTATAAAGCAAAGTGCTCTGGTTAGGTCTCCCTATAATCCCTGAAAGGCAGTCCACCTAGGAGAAGGAAACTCTGATTTCAAACCCCCGGACCCCAATAGTGGGCCAGGCTGTCCATATTGGATTCATTGATCTTCGGTGTTTCCCAGACATGTTGATGAGCTCTGATATAGAGCGAAACAGCCATACGCTTTTCAGGGCTGAAGTAAGGAGCAAGGAGTAATTTTAAAAAATTAAAAAATCAATGTCAATACCAAATGTTGTGCTTGAACATCCAATGCATTTGATAACTTGTCTTTATAAAATGAAATATTAGTGTTCATAAAGATTTAACCATTAACATGATAAAAACTTTCATTTGTTAGCAAAATTTGCTGTGGTTAGTAGACAGAGAAAGCTAGCTTAAAATAAGTTTGAACTTTTGAAGCAATGGGGCACATTGCAACATAACCTGTAAAGGCTAGTTCACACAAGCAATTTTGAACTGCAATTTTCTTCTTTGTAGTTTGTATGTGTTAGAGTGAATAATCACAACGAATGCATGAGCTAAGCCACGCAAAGTAATGTTTCCTATAATTTTGCTAAATCACATATGCCAAAAGGAGAAAATCACAGTTTAAAATCGCTTGTGTGAACGGGCCTTAACAGGTGTGAATTACCCAAGTTATTTCAAAATATTTAAAATGATCCTCCCTGTCATGGGGAGATAATTGCAGTAAAATGGGTTAGTGAATAATAAAGTTTCCCTCAATGATCAATAACATAATAAAAACATGTGCAACAAATATTTACAATCTAGCAGGTTGATACCCAATGTATATCCCATTTGGACAAAGATTAGATACGATAAAGATGTGCCACTCGACGTATTTCCCTAATGTTTGCGTGTCCGTAATTTTCCGTGCTGATCAAAAGTGATCACGCGAGATGACGAGTGCATAACACTTACTGGCAAAATGGCGGCTATAAAAAAATCTCGGACATAATTTTCGCAGAGTGGCACATCTTTATCGTATCTAATCTTTGATTTGGAG